CTATAGCTTCAAACTATATTGCGAGATCACAAATAAATCCACCTATTCCCGCTTCGAGTCATTCTGTCTGGACCAATCAGTGTCCTGTGAGGAGCTGCTGGAAGATAATGTGTGTGGTTTATAAAAAGAAGAAGGGCCTTTATTTATCCCTGAGAGGAAATTCAGTTTTCACTCTTTTATTATTATAATATAAATATAGCATCATTATTGTTGTGTACACAGTGCAAAACACATACACATGCACAGGAGAGGAGTCAGAGCGGACATGCTGCCAGGTTTTCTGGCACCAGGAAGCAGTTGGACACCTTGAAGTGCCCAGGAGGTGAATCAGCACTTCTCCAGCTACCAGTCAACACTCCACAGTTTTGGTTCGATCAGGATTTGAACCATTGACCTTACAGACTGAGCTAATGCTGCCCGAGGAGGAACAGAATGACACTTAAGTTGACTTCCCATGATGAGAGATTTGCTCTTTGCTCAACGCAAGGTACAGTATAGGGCACAGAGCCTTGCGGGGAAAAAGAGCTGTTTAGTTTTGTTTTTGTATAACCTCCCCTATTAGCTTGTGTCGCTTCTTACAGCTGACATCTGATTGGTTGTACGTTGAAAGGTCAGCAGCAATCAAGATCAAATTTGAATTAATTTGAACTTTGAGCGTAGCACTCAATGGCAATATCAGGGGGGTAGCTTCCCTATAGTCCCTCAGGACCACTCTTCAGAAGGGAAACATCGGCACAGATGGCCATTCAACAGCTGGTCAGGTGAAGGAAGCTTAAAGCCTCCTATGATTGGTTAAAGTGAGCCTGTAACCACCTCCCAAGTTCATCTTTAAAGTGCCTAACATTATGTTAGAAAAATATCACTCGTCACAGGCTTGGGCATTAATAACAGGATACATGTTTTTGTTATCATTTCAAGAATGGAAGTAGTCATCACATACAGAGCATTTGGTACAACTACGTCCAGAACAGTGTCCTTCACATGCTGATATATAAGAGAAGGTGTTACACAGTCACAAGATGTAGAATACCAGTTCAAAGCAGTATGTTTAGTTTAGATTAGCTAAGGCCAACGTCAGAAATGATCATGCTTGTCATATGTCTATCTCCATAGAGGCTGAATCGTCACGTTAATCGTTGTCACATAGCTATCATATGCCTAAAACAGTGTGTTCTGACGTATTTAATCATACTTCTGGTTACGTACACAACTACGTAGGGCCTTTGTTATCATGTGCTACTCTGATATTGGAAGAGTACATTCAGTATTTTCCCAACACTTTTTCCAAACAGTTTCCGTTGACAGTTTTTTCAAACAACCTCCAAACTTCATCTTGCACGTTTGTGATGTCATCTCTGTGACAAAATCTTTCTGTAGACTTCAGGAGCACACAGTCATTGCCTTGATGACACACTCACAATGTAAAAACAAATCCAACATTGCTTTGCAGCTGATAATCAAAGGAGACTATCCTCTTAATCAGTGTTGGGCAAGTTACTTACAAACTGTAATACAGTATATATGACTTATTACTGTCTTTTTTAAGTAATAAGTAACATTACAATATGACTGTCTCTGAAATGTAATGAGTTACACTACCTTTATATTACTTTTGAGTTACTCACCCAAAATAACCGCAAAATAATGGCTATAGGTATTGTAGCGACCCTGATAGGATGCTGAGGGTGTCACTCAGGTATCCCCCGTCTCTCTGCCAATCATAGAGCTGTACCGTGATGCTGGTTGAGGTGCGGGCCTGTCGTTGGGGGAGCAGACGGGGGAGGGCGGGAAGTTGTGACGTAGACAGGGATATACTGTATATATGGGCATGTGTGGTATCATGGATGTATAAAGAAGAGTTCTACCGCAAAGTTATTCTCCGTGGGGACTTCCGGCAACAATCTTGATTCTGATTGGCCAGAAGACTCGAAAAAACATCAGCAAAGATATTTTAATTAGAAGATGATCACTACGTGACAGAAGTTTTCAAAACCGTTTATGGTCTCCGGTACTTCCGGTCCAACGCCGACTGCATGCACAGCGTTAGAAAATCNCAACCGACAGTATATCACCATGTAAGAGGACCCAATTACGACTTGTTACAACTGGCGGCACTATTATTTATTCTTGTACATGCCGCAGTCACGTGTTTCAAGACTCTCACTTTTTGTATCGATGTTACCTACGCGGTACCTTGATCCTTGCATCCTGTGGCCTACAAGACTCTCCCGACACTTTGGCTACCAGACCACAATGTGGACTTGTAGTAGGTGTTTGTGTAAACAAAAAGTTCACAGACACACACTCAGTAAGTGGTAACACTCATTTCGGCGAAAAGTCAAAGAGATCTGGTCACGCAAGGTTTTGAAAAACCCGCGGTTCCCGTGTGGTTTCCTTTGATTTTTAAGAGTTCGTGTGGATGGGATATCTTATCGGGAATATTGTGCACAATAGTGAGATAGTACATTTTATAGACATGGCATTTACACGTATGAATAAATGATTACCGTTTATTTTACACTGTTCTGTTTGATAATAATGAGTACTTTATAAATAATTGCTTTTTTTAAATTTTAAGTAAATATCGTTATATTTTATGATCTATCATATTAATATATATAACTATATTATGATTATACTATATATAATATATTAAATATTGGAAATCGCGTTTAATCCGAAGTAGTTCTCGTCGTTGTGTGAGTAAATTTGGTCTGTCCAGGTGTTTTAATTTTTTTTACTCCGTTGCCTTTGAGTCGGGCAATCAATTATCACACATGTCCTGAGTAAAATGCGTGACTCTAAGGCAGTGTTTTTCAAAGTGGGGGCCCCGACCCCCCCGGGGGGCCGCCAGGGGGCACCAGGGGGGTCAGGCAAAGTTTGAGGGAAAGGGAAAAAAAAATCTTTTTTTAAAGTTACCTTTTTTTGTTGTTGATGTAATTAATAACTGCATATCTATCAATCTATGTTTCCTTTGATGCCAATCTTTTAATATTTTTTATTTATTAATATTTTATGTTTTTTAATTACACGACCGCCCTTCAAGCCAATCAGAATCGAGCTGCCTCTACTGAGAGTAAAACTGAGTATCTGCTCAGCTTTTGGAGCAAGTGAGAGCTAGTGAATATTTCGCTCTGCAGCTGGATGAAAGCACGGATGTAGCAAATATTTTTGTTTATATATGAATATAAATATTTGTATTATTAATATTACTGTTGAATATTATATATAATATTATTAAGGCATAAGTAGCTTTCAAAAATGTTAAAATTGTAATTGTTCATGTTACTGTTCAAAATTATATAATATTATAAAGACAGAAATCACTTTAAAAATACGTTTACTGTTGATATTACTGTTTAATATTGTGTTAAGAATATTTATAACAGAATACACAATGAATGTAATGAATGACAAACAAAAGATAAATACAAACATTTTTTAGAAGAATAACTGATTATTAATTATTAATACAAATATATCTTAAGAAAATGTATTAAGCTGTATGATTAATTTGTCATATTTTCCATCATAGTGTATTCATCATTTAAAAAAAGAAATTGCAACAGGGGGGTCCCCGCTAGAGGATAATGCTAAATGGGGGTCCTTGGCATGGCAAAGTTTGGGAACCCCTGCTCTAGACTACAGAATGTTGGCAAAAAAACTAAACCAAGGTCAGGCAGTGACAGCCTCTAAAGTAGTAATACTTATAACATAAGAAAAATAGGATAAACTGAACTTGATATTTGAAGGAAGTCCAGTAATACAACTACAGAATGAATGAAACTCCTCAGCAGCACAACAGTTTCAAACTCAAACAGAACCTTTAGGTTGTGAAGCTGATTTACCAACCAGCCTCTTTTGTTCAGTTCTGTCAAACCCTTCTTTATAAACTGAACTCACAATAATATGAAAGAAAAAGTTTGACATGTTGAGTAAAAGGCTTAAAGTTCACAAAGTCTATCCTGGCTGCTTATAGTGTTGTGGTAAGTCTCATAATATATATTTTTTTCGTGAGCACAAGGAAATGGAAGTGGTTAAATTAATGATTTAAAAAAATGCTATGGTTACAATGTAGGAGTGTGTTTATTTGTAAAGTACACTGGACCTTGTGTAAGGTCAATATGATTTGTTAAAGAAGGCTGATGGGTGGAGTTAATATGGTCGGTAAACAGATAACTAATGCAGATTATTATTCATCAGCTCCATATTATCAGCAAAACCATTGTACACCAGCCGGTACTATTGTGGAGGCTTGTCAATATACAGTGATGACGTGTTTTTGAAGGACGCCCCGGACGTTAGCCTTGCAAGGGCTCCCTCAAAAAAGAGTAATAGGATTTGTTCTTTGGATTTTAGAATATAGCAGAGATAAGCTTTGTATCAGACAAACCTTTAAGATACTTACACGATTTGTTCAGCAGGATAATCCTCCCATATTAACACCACTTTTAGGATTTCTTAAGCGTAAATGCAATCGCAAGAAGTAAAAAGCTAATGGCAATAAAGGAACAACGTCACATGGCTGCATCGCCATCGCTAAGCTAAAGGTGGCTAATGTTCGGTGCAGTGACGTTTAGTTGTCTCATTAAGTCACTCGTTATCGACCGCTGACTTTTTGACACAGAGGCTACAGATGTTCATGAGTGGGGTGTTTACTGAAATATTTTATTTTATAAAACTAAACTCTAAAGAAAAAACTAACCAAACGTGGTAAATCGCTTACTCATTTCTGGGTTTAAGGACTAATTCATGCACCACTCTATGCTGAACGACACCACCATCAAATCGGAGGCCCGTTTATTTCTGCTTCACAGACTATATGTATTTTGGTTTCAGTGTAGCAGTGAACTTTTGACGGATATGAAACACAAATCAAATGTTTGGATTTCTAGCAGTTGTTGACAATAAACCAGAGCTAAGATGCAGATGTGAGTTACAGAAGGGACCGAGGTCAGTTAATGAGTGGACAGAATGAAGACAGGAGCTGTGAGACCCACCTGCAGCATTCTCCTCCTGATTCAGGGTCACCCGGATGTTCTTCACCAGCAGCTTCCAGTCGTGGGCACGGGGGGGTTTTGGGGGAGAAACCACATTGTTGCGTGCACCCTATTTGAGAAATTATTATAAAGTAAATAACTCAAAATGTTGATCTACAGTGCGAAATATTATTAGCAACAATGTAAGTAAAGTAGAATTTCCCAGCTTTTTCAAATATAAACAACACAGTTCTATACAAAAAATACATAAATCAAAGAGCTTTGAAAACTACCTCCGAACTAAAAACACCTTTAAGTCGGTCAAATTGCATCATTCATCTTAAACACTGTTAGAATAATAAAAATACAACTTTTTAGGGGAATAAAACTTCTACTAACTTGTTTAAGCCTCCCAAGCCTTGTAATGTGCTTTGTATTTGTACCCTGCTGTAAGAAAGACAATATAGACGGGAAATCACCTGTGCTGACACACTGAAATCTAGCCAATGATTTGCAAAGGATTTTCTTTCTGACCATGGAGAGTTCGCATCAGTAGTAGCCACGGTTTTCACCTTTTAGCCAAATATTCATTCGTTTTTTTCTACACACACACACACACACTTAAAAAGCCAAAGAACATGAGTGTATCTGATATATTTTCCAACGTGTCCTGGTTAATGATTCTCAAAAAGACAATTTGGCTGTTTTTCAGTGAAAATTCTAAACATTTGAACAGTGTTAATTTCGAGGCTTGATCAAATCAGCATCACGTGACATTAGGTAATGTCGATAAAATCTAAACATTAGTGGCTGCTTTAATAGGGCATGTGCAGAACGAAATCACAAACTGTGAATCGTTTATGCTTTAGTAGATACACAGTAGCTTCGGAGATTTGACATAACTCCAGTATCTGTATTGCCATCAAAAGGAATGTGATACCAGTTCTAATTAATTTCCTTATGACACTCGGATACAAAAGTAAATATTAGAACATTTTAATAACTTACTCCGGTGTGGAAACAAGTCGCAAACACACAAAATATCTGTCTCATTAGCTTCTAATGATAACACTATGTTTACCAGCTGGTCTCTAACTGCTAGCTGGTGCAGCACAGGAAGTGTATAGCAGCTTTTTGAGTTTTGTTTTATTGTAAACTAAACTTTGTTTGTTGCAACACAATGAGAACAGTGAGAGTGAAACCAAAACAGTGAAGTTATGGGTATTAAAACGCACCTTAAAATGAAACTTTATATAGGTAAACTCATTATAAAATCTTCTGTAAACCCAGGGGGTGTTGCAGTTTCAGCTGATCAATTAGGATTAGGTTCAATAATACCTTCATATTGTCATTTTACAACATTACTATGACAAAAATATTGAAACTGCAATCAAAGGCCTGGGATGACAGACGTGCACACACTTGTCTGCATTGCTTTGTTGTGCGTTGGCAGCTGTTGAGATGTCATGCATCAGCATCCTGAACTCACCGTGAGCTGTGAGGCCTGAGCAGGCCTACAGCTGAGCAGCACAGAGGGGCGCGCCGCACACAGCAGCCCCCTCAGCTGCTGCTGCAGGGCCACTGCACGGCAGGAGGAGGCATGGTCCTGACAGAGAGAGGTCAGAGAGTCAGACATGTCCCACAGGACTGGAGCAGATTGACTAGGACTGCACATTCATGGAAATCTTATGGAAATTGCAATACGGACTAGTGCAATATCCAAATCACAGTAAGCTCAATATGAATTAAAGGCTTAATATTTTAAATATCAATCTGAGTGAAGTATTGCGGAACTGCATTAACATGTTGTTGGTACGGACCATCAAAAATAACAATCACATCATGCTTTTAATTTAACATTTCAATGATATTTGTTTTTTTGTTTTTGTATGGATTATTCCGTCTAGTATTGGGGGTCATATTGCAACTGCATTGTCATTTAAATTATTGCGATTAGTTCTTATTGTTGTTCAGCCATAATATTGACTGTCTTTCACCGAAAGATAACTTCTCTAAGCAGGTCAAAAACTACGAAAAATAAAGTACACTTTCAACGATGTTACATGTTCAGAGGACTTCCATTTACCTGGGTGAGGGTGGGGGTGACCTGTAGCACCCCCGTATCCAGGTGCGTCACCCCCCAGATCACCTTCACCTCGTCTTTAGCCTCCTGCATCTGAAGGTCCAGCTGAGGGACAGAGGAGAAAAACCAAAATGCCTTATGATGCCAGGGTTCTCAGAAAGCCTTCAGTGCTCATCAGCTTGACTTATTCTAACATCTATCAAATATTTAGTAATAAAACTGCCATTTATAATGTCTATAATGGTTATCTAAATATGATGTGGAACATAATGACCTACTTCTTTAATAAATATGTTCCTGTGGACTTTTGGCCTCTCATTTGAAAACACATCAGTCTAGTTGTATTGTTTAATGACTCAAATATCGAACCATTAAGCAAGCCTTAAATTGTCACCACAGCAACAGTTTTCATAACAGTAAATATCATGCATTCATTTGATGACTAACCTAAATGGCAACACTCAATCTCAGACTGAATCAAACCTATTCTCAGCACATGACTCTCTCAATCTCTTCTCCACGGCAACCTGTGGATGGGATTCATTTGTGTGCTTTGATGTGACGAAGTGTAATTATTCTTTAGATTACATTTTATGTGATTGTTTGAATTGAATCTTGCATACCATTAGCTACAGGAACATTTTCGAAATGGTGTTTCTCCTAAAAGCATGCCTTGCATTCTAAATCAGTTTATTAAAACCCTGAAGATGACATATCTCCAGTTTTCATCTCAAATAAAACACTAACGCTCTGGTCAACTCTGTAAACTCTACTTATCGTATGCAAACTCCAGACTGACAAACAAGAAACACTCATTAGAAAAGGTCAGCAAGGTGTACATCCTCATATCTGAGAGAGAAATTGAAGAATAATGGAAATAGCCAGAAACCTGCCTTCATGTCCCAGCATGCCTGGATTCCAGCGTGAGGCTGAACAACGGCCTCTGTGCTGCCAAACAAAGCTTCATCAGAGAGCAGGAGAATGCTTAGATGGATCCAGAAGAACAATATCACAGGCTGCTTTGATCCCACCCGGATCACTTCATAAAAACAGTGTTATGTGGGAGGCTACCATAATTATAAAACTCAATCCACATGGAGTGAAAAGAGATACAATGATGCTTATGGAAAAGCTGTAACCATCCAAATAGCTCCGATCATCTAAACTAACCATGATCAATGTTTCTCATACAGCATCTCTGTATAGTATGTGTATTCACTCTCTGTCCTACACTGCCCCCCCCCCCCCCACTCCCGTCCATGTGAGCCCACTGTGCTCTGATGTGTGTTTATGTGTTACAATGGCATTTGTTAGCAACCACAAAAAGAACACCAGTAATGACAAACAGATGAGTATGCTGCGTGGGGTCTGGGGGCCGTTTTGGCGGGACGTTGCGGGGCTCGCTGCTGCGAGGAGCGGACAGTGTGAGCTGGATTACTGGTGTCGTTTCCTGGCTGCTGAGTGGGGTCTGCGAGACAGCGAGACTCAGCCTGGGCAAACGCACGTGAGTGTGTGGCGAACTGTGAGTGGAGATCCACGGAGCCGAGGCTGAGAAAAGATAAGGTGTGTGCCGGCAGTTTCAGCTTTCTCAGCACGGCTGAGAAAAGATAAGGCTGAGTGAGTGAGTGAGTGAGTGAGTGAGTGAGTGAGTGAGTGAGTGAGTGAGTGAGTGAGTGAGTGAGTGAGTGAGTGTGTGGAGCTCCACGGATTGGTCCATTTGGACTTCGGTATGGTCATGTCACTATACTCAGGAAGAAATAAATGGAATGTCCAACGAGGCGTTCTGGGCAGCATAGACAGGTCTTTTCTGTGTTTTACTCGCTACAGGTTGTACTTTCAGGGTTTGTGACTCTGCAGACCGTTTACATGCATAAAAAGCTACATAACACACAAGGGGACGGGTAATAACCGGAAAAGCATGACATGGGACCTTTAATGTGGTGCCACTCCTTTGGGATGATGCATGTCACATGTGTGTCCTTCAGCACATGCAGCAGACCATGTGATGCAACCGTGTGCTAAAGAAAAAGTACACTGAGCGGCCCACCACAGTTCACCGGGTGCATTGCTGTGTCCCTGCACTGTAAATACCAGAGGCCTCTGGTCCGCATATCCCAGCACCCCTAACATGACGGGCCAGGACTATTCTAGCATGGATCAGAGTGAAAAGCTAACAAATGTTCCAGTGGATGGATGGAGACATTTGAAAGGCGTCTCTGACTAAGCTGAAACAATTATAGCGAAAAGAGGCTTCCTTTATGTTCCCGCCGCAACAACTGATCCCAACCAAAACAAAAGCACCCTGGCTCTAATCCTGACTTTAGCTCCTGAGTCTCTCACTCAAGTTGTATTTATGGCACAATGAGATCAGGGTGGAACTTATTGCTTTAAAAATAGCCTTAAAACAATTGGGTTAGCTTGTATAGCTGCTTGAATACATACTTTGGTGCAGATTTAACACTGAAAGTAAGAACAGGAGGAAAGCTTACCACAGATGCACACAAGCTGTTACATATCCCATCACACAACATTTCACTCACTTCAGTTAAATACCGCATCTGAGTCTGATGCATAAAGAGGGTTTGGAAAGACCATGATTCACCTTTTGGGATGATAAATAAAATGAATTGCTGCAATGTTCAGATGAAGACAAGGTCATCTTTAGTCATTTGTGTCATAACTTCAGTGTTTTAATGGTTCTCTACAGGCCCTTGATGAATGTCAATGTAGACAAAGAGGGCTAACTTTGGAGGTGAGTATGACAGTGATTTTTTTTTAGGTCTTCTTGACATTTGCCAAGCACTGAAAGACACCACACCATTTCATCTAAGACTCCTGCCAGGCCCGCAGTCAGCCAGCTCAGGGCAGCAATTGATGTTCAATAAAACCTCCCAATAAACTAAACCATATTGACATCCAAAGAGTGTCTGCTTTCAAATGCCTCAGAGCTAAGTGGATATTTACTAGTAGATACAACTAAGTATTGTTTACTTTCATGAAACTTAAACACATGCCTCAGAAGGAACTAAAGAGTAGTTACCTGCAGCTCCAGTGGAGCGATACACACTGTGTATTTACAGGGCTCTGCTGAAGGCATGGCTGTGGAGGCTGCACTGACAGAGAACTGAAGCTTCTCCCCGATCACACTGCAGCAAGCGGCCTGTTGGGAAGACAAAGTGAAGCAAGAGTATTAAATAAATACAGTTAGAATGCTGGAGCTAAAGCAGGGACAGCGTTGTAAACTCGCATGTAGTTATTCTATGTAACAAGAAAACATATCCAGAATTTGTAATAAGCTATTGTAAAAGTGCTGTTTTCCTATCCACATGTAAAAGGAACTAGAAGGATTTATTGATACTAAGGGCTGTAGAGAAAAGTTTGGAGCTTTTTCCATTAACATTGAAGTTCAAATTCTCAATAAACACTTGAATGCTGCGCTGTCTTTCTATTTACTTGAATGTGTGAATTCATTCAGTTGGGTAGGTAAGCTTGGGATGGATAAATTAAATATATACATACAAAAAACTAGAGACTCTTTCCAATGAAAGTAGCTAGCCGCAATAGCTCCAAGATTGCTATATCTAGTTTGTAGGTCGCCAAGTTGGCATCATTGACAGTTCGTCTCATAAAGCCTCTAAAGCTCTGCAACAAAAAAGGATCATTATGAATGCAAATACTGTCCATGGTAATGCAGCAGGGCAGAGTGCGATGAGGCAGGCAGGCAGAACCAGATTTATATCTAAATATTTGTCGATCAATATTAGACTACACTAATATAAGGCTACTAGTATTATAATATTACTGCAATAATATTCCAGTGGTGGCTGCTTAAGGTTGTTTCTGGCTCGTTTGATCCAAGCATTGTCCAAAGCTCAAAATGTATTGTAATAGATGTAAAAATTCTCAAAATGTACAATATGTTTTGATCCAACACAATATTCTGATTCAATCCATATATGTTAGGGTTTTTTTTTAAACAATATTTTCACCACCATAAGTAGACTGCCTTCTCTCCAGCTCACCGCACACAAAGGGGGGGGGGGCGGCATCTGTATTAACGGGTCAGTCTAGAAGCACTCTAACAGCACCATAAATGACATTAAAACAACCACAAAAAAACTATTATTGTTTCCCATATTGATTTAACGAGATGCTGTTATAACATGGAAACGGCTTAATTAAAAAAAATAAAAGCTTCAAAAATGTTTTAAGAAGGACACTGGGTACAGCTAGGGCTGGGCGATATGGTCACAATGATATCGCGATATTTACTGACTATATCGCGATATACGATATATATCGCGATATTCTGAAATGTCCTCTAAAAAAAAAATGTTTTTATTTAACCCCTTGATGTTTACAGTCACGCCAGTATGATGATTCTAGTAGTCCCTGCAACATATGTCTGCATTAAAAAAATCGACTAATAATGAAGAAAATTAACACATTTGTTGCAATAGTAATTTATGCACTAACTACATTACTACTTGTACTACAACATTTGAATCATCAGTTCTTCCTCATTTTCCTCAATTGTTCATATTTGGTTTATTAAAATAATGATATTGTGGTCATTGTTCAAAAATGTCTGCTATTATTATGAGTAGTATTATTATTATTAGTATAATGCGCTTTCTGTCTTCCTGTCATTATCAGGAATTAGACATGTAATGGCTATGTATTAGATTAGATTAGAACCTTAATTCTCCTAAACTGCTGGGACATTTCCCTATAGCCAATACCTTTTATATTTTCAACTCTTCACTTACTTGTCAGCATAGGTCGGCATTGATGTACAGAGCCGACAGAAGACCTTGTTTATATTGGCATCATATTGAGAGGTGCAGTGACGCGTCCTAAAACCAGGAAGTAAGCTGCTGGTTCCCTCGACAAAAAAGCAATGGGATTTCTCCATAGGGTTTTGGAAAATAGCTGGAAATAAGGTCTGTGGAAAACAAACCTGTTTGATAAATGCACGTTTTGTTCAGCCGGATAATATCCACATGTCTACCCTACTTTTATAATTTTCTAATCATAAATCTAATCGATAGATTATAAAAGGGTTTTAGACGCGTCACTGCACCACTAGAAAACAACTCCATCGATCAAGCTGGCTGAAGCTTTCTCTCCCTCTTCTTCTCACGCTACCTGTCACTGTCCTTTAACTCCTCCGGTGACTTTCTTTTATTTGAAGATAGTTTTTTGCCTAGCGCTCAGGGGCAAACGGGAGCCTGCTCGCGCTGGCTCCCGTTTGCCTTTCACCCAACAACGACAACCGCCTCACGAAACGCTATGTTTTAGCGTTAATAAACGAAACAATTTAACAACATTGCTTGTCAAAGTACCTATACCACTGGACAATTTTATTTTTTTTAAGCAATATTTTTAGTGGCCCGAGCGGGCAAGTGGAAAGTACGTTATGCTGGCCCGGGGTGTCTAAATAGTGCTTCCGAGCCAGCGGGCCATTTATAATGTTGAGCCCTGCTCTCTGTCACTGTGCATGTGTGTAATGTTTGTGTGCAAGTTAGACGGGGCCTGCGTGTGTGCCTGCGTGTGTGACTGTGTCTATGAGGGAGAAAGAAAAGCTCATTTTGGCCGCGGCGGGAAATTGATTTGACAACATAATACTCGATGTTCACGATGTGGTCATTTACGACATCGCATGGAGTGCAATCCACGATGTATCGTGTAAACTCGATATATCGCCCAGCCCTAGGTACAGCCCTGTAATACATGTGTTCCGTGTGTATATAGTCTTACGCAAGAAACACATAGCATGAACAGACTAATAAACAAAACCAGTCTTACAAAACAGACTTCTGCTAAACTGGTGCAGAAGCAAAGCTTCTGCCTTCGATGAAGTTCACACAGAACTGTGGAAAAGGGAGAACATCTGTACTTGCTTTCAACGGCATGATCAGAACATTCAATAAATCATTTTCACTGCAAAGGAATTTGTCTGTAATAGAGTTAATAATAAAACAGCTTTAAAGTGTCCTTTAAGTATTTAAAACACTCATTGCATTCATTCTGATTTGAGTGGAAGATGGGTGTGTTTGTGTACAGTTGGGCATTACATCACTGTGAGGGGAAACCTAAGCATAAACACAGGTGCTGCTGCATTCCTGTCTGCTCCACACACACACACACACACACACACACACACAAACACACACACACACACACACACNTTTTGGCAGTTTAACTAAAGGTGTGCGGCTGCTGCCGTGAAGAAATATCTGCCTGAAATTACAATGGGGTTTAATGGAGGAATGTTGAACGTTTTTGTCACTTCATGCCCTCAAAAAGCATTTTGTTTAATTATTTTTTGCTTAATTATTTGTCATTTTTCAAGCTACGAGATGTTTTCCTACGTTTGTCATGATAAATTATGTCTCAGGAATGTAGGGTTTGGGAATTATGGCAGTTTTAAAAAAAGATATGAATCACGCACTCTAGCTAATGTTAAAATGTGAAGAAAACCTCAAAAACAAGGTCTGAACAATGTTTAATATCTCTAAAAGTAAGAATCAGATTTAAAGGTTTATACTACACGAATAATGTCAGAAAGATGTGTAACATTTTAAAGTTGGAATGAGGTTTCTGAGTGAAAGTATGAATGAACAGTTAGCAGTTGAATCGCATGATGATTTGTTGAAGTCTGAAGATTTTCTCCATTGACTTCAATGTTAAAAATGTGATGTATTATGGGATGTATCTCTGGAATTATGAAAGTTATGAATGAGAAAAGTAATAGCCATCGATTCCCGACCGAGTTGAACGTTTTGATGTTCGAACGGAGTTTCTGCGATGTTCAATGCGGGAGGAGAAGCGCAGCAAAATGAGTCGGCGGAATAATAATAAACTTTTCGTGCGTAGAATAACTGTTAACAGCATTCCCACTAAATAAATGACAAGAATTCGTATTAAATAAAATTAATATATTTCTTACAGACAGGCCTCGTGGTGTCCGTAGGCTTGCCCTCACTGTGAGAGATATAGCTAAAATACATCAAAATTTCGCTTCTGGCGTCTTTTTTGTCAACAAGCCGAGGCGCAGCGGCAGTTGCACTCCCACTTGCAGCTAAGCCATGCTTCTCGTTTTCTCACATGCTCTGGCAGCTAGCGCGTGCACGAGAGAGGAGAGGGACTTAGAGCGTGCTGGAGAGGGGAGGGACTGCAGGCACGGCTGCAGTGCAGGGAGTGGAAGCAGAGCGCTGAACACACAAGGCTCACAGCGCTTTCCCCCGTCATTCTTAAAGTACCGATACTAAGGAAACGGAGGAATCGTAACGTTTTTAACGGCAGGGTATCGCGGTATACCTTTCAAGTATTGGTACACCTTTCAAGTATTGGTACACCGTGCAACACTAGTCAGGAGTCAGTGTCTCTCCCCCAAACTCACACATATAAAATTCGATATGAACTGAAGAGCCGCATGAAACTAGGCAAAGAGCCGCATGCGGCTCGAGAGCCGCGGGTTGGCCACCCCTGGTTTAGAGTAACAATTTTGTGACGATGCTGATGTTTTATGAACAGTTGTTTAGCCCTTTAAAACACTTTCTTTGAATGTGCACACAATCCTAAAAATAGTTTTTACAAACACACAAGTTTTACAAGTTTACTCATTGAGGAAACTTGAAGTTCCAACAGTCAGTGGTTGCTTCCTCACAGAGAGGAGAGGAGACTCCCTCTGAAGGATTCTAAAGTTATGGCAGACCCTCAGTGTTCTAATCCTTCAAAAATGATGTACAATGTTTATCTGAGAAGTAAACAACTTCAAAATAAGCAGAGCAGCATTTTCATACTGCTACAGTATCATGATATGCTTATAAACGAGCTGTGTACAGTATAGCCCAGGTGACCATCAACAAGTCAAAACAAACATTTCCAAAGCCTTCAACTTACAGAAAAACAATATACAATCGCTTGTTAGACTACAAACAGACCAAACAAAGTTATCGCAAAGTGTCAAATTACACATTGCAAAAATGTAATAATAATAATTTAAAATAAAAGGCTAAATCATACACTTGGAGAATATGATATAAATAAAGATAGACAGCAATGGTGTTTTGCCAGGACAAAATACAAGACCAATAGACACAGGCATACATCATGTGCATGCATGTGCCTGTCTCATGCTAAATGATGCCCTTTTGTGTGGACATTCCTGTGTTTAAAGCTAATCCTCTTGTCTTGTCTTTCAGCCATGGAGAGCCTTGTGCATTACAGCAATCCCTCCCATGCCCTCTCAGTGTTAGGGGTCCTGAATGAGCAGCGTCTGCGGGGCCAGATGTGTGACGTAGTCCTGGTTGTGGCAGACCAGAGGTACCAGGCCCATAAGAGTGTTCTGGCTGCCACCAGTGAGTATTTCCAATCCCTGTTCACACGGATGGACGCAGTGTCGCTGAAAGTTGTAAACCTGGACTTCTGTGAGCCTGACGCCTTCGAGATAGTTCTGAATTACATTTACTCCTCCTCACTTTTTGTGGACAAAGGCAGCTTGGCAGCCATTCAAGAGCTAGGCTACAGTCTTGGAATCCCTTTCCTCACCAACATTGTGTCAACAAGGCCACATGCATCCTACTGTGTGTCTAGAAAAAGGCTTTCCTTCACAGAAGGGGATGAGAATGATGTCCAGACAAGGAGTGTCATTGTGCGTCGGGTCCGGAATGACACCATCAATCCCTCTCGCTCAAATAATGAGAGAAATACAGCCGAGAAATCATCTTCTGCAAATTCTACTCGAGAGTCAGCCCATCCTCCATCAGTACACAACCTGTATGAATCAGTCAGAACATCTGAATCCATCAGCGGGAAATCATGTGAACAGAGTGAAGCTGCTGAAAGGAAGTCAACGTACCCATACACCTCCATTTTAAAAGGGAATCCATCACACGTTACATCTGTTCGTCCCCAGCTGACATCATCAGTGTCCTTCAGTGATGCTGAGCACATCAGGCTGCAGTCGGTCACTGACCCGGACACTAAAGAGGAGAATGAGGAGCTGGAGCCCCACTATCACACCAAAGTGCCCTTTCAGGGT